CTCACACACACTGTCACAAACTCGCACACGCACACACACTCACATACCCTCTCACACTGACACACAATCTCACACTCAAAGTCTCTGATACTCACACATATTCTCTGATAATCAAACACACTCTCACTCACACACAATCTCTCACACTCTCTGATATTCACACACATTCTCTCACACTTACACACATACTCACACACTCTGATACTCACACATACTCTCTCATACTCTCACACAAACTTTCACACGTACGCACACTCTCACATACCCTCTCTCACACTGACACTCACTCTCACACTCAAACTCTCTGATACTCACACATACTCTCTGATAATCAAACACACACTCTCACACACACTCTCGCACTCTCTGATACTCACACACACTCTCTCATACTCTCACACAAACTCTCACACGTACACACACTCTCACGCACTCACAAACTCTCTCTCACACTCACTGATACTCACTCACACTCTCTGATAATCACACATACTCTCACACACTCACACACAATCCCTCACACTCACAATCTCTGATGCTCACACATTCTCACCCACTCACACGCAATCTCTCACACTCACACTCACTGATACTAACACCCACACTCTCACACATTCTCTCGCACTCTCACATTCTCTCATACTCACACACACTCTCTCACTGAAACTCTCTCTAACACACACTCTCACTCACATACAAATACTCTTTCTCGTACACACTTCATCTCTCACAGACTCTCTGTTTCTCACACTCTCGCCGCTTATTCTCTCCCACTGACCTGACCCTCTGTCAGCCCCAATCGTCCAGCAGCTCAGGTCGCTCTCTGTCCGGTCGATCCTCGGCCATGTTTGATCTTCTCCTCCTTCAATCCTGACGTTGTCTCCGCCCACTCTCTCCCCGTTGGTCCGTTACGAACACTCGCCCCCTCTGCCTGAACTTCCCATTCGTCTGTCTAGTTGTCAAGCAGATGCCGCGCTCTGATAGGTCTGTGCCTACGTCAATCATCTCTAAACCGCTCCACCTTCCGCTCCCTGGTTAACCGTCACTAGGTCACCGCCCACCCACTCCCCATTGGCCCATTCAAACAGCCGCCCCCTCAGCCAGAGCTTCCCAATGGTCTGTTCACACGTGAACCGATAGTCGCGCTCTGATAGGTCCAAATCCACGTTAATCATTTCCGCTCCATCCTGCCCCGCGATATCACCAGATGCCACTAGTTCGCCGCCCACTCGCTTCCCATTGGCCCATTCAAACACCCGCCCATCATGCCGTAGCTTACCATTGGTCAGTTGCGTTTTCAATCAGACTACGTACTCTGTTAGGTCTGTCAACACGTCAATCATCTCCCGTCCTGTGTGCCTTGCGCACTCTCCCTGACCGTCACTCTCTCCCCGCCCACTCGCTGACTATTGGTTCCTTTCAACATTCCGCAGCTCCGTATTGGTCAACCTGGCTGTCAATCTGCTGCCCTCCCAGTCCTGCCTTTCTCTCCTCTTTTCCCCCAGCCTGTGTTTACCAGCTGTCATTGGGAATCCGACTGGTGTTTCATTGGTATGGCTTTTCCGGGGCTTGTAATCCCTTCAATTGTTTGAAAAAATCATAAAAATTCGGTCGATTCAACTCACGATAGCCACTGCACCTTGCAGTGTGTCCTGTTAAGCGCTTTCAGACGTCTCGATGAGGTGGTCAGGCGCTGTAGCATTGCAAGGATTATTATTCATATTATAAACTGCTCCTTTCTTGGTACGTCCAGCGTGGAAGGCGCTGTACAAATTTACATGTCAGTCGGAACAAAGGAACTTTATCTTTTGTATCAGTTCGGCAGTGTTGTTTTCTTTACGATTTTATCCTGACAGACAGACCTTGATATGTGTTCACTGAAACCTACAAAAAGACAGACACACAATGACACTACTCGCCCACCCTCCCCCCACACACATAGAGACACACACATACACACACAGACACACACACACAGAACGCACACACAGAGATACACACACACTCAGACCCACACACAGACACACACACGGACATACGCACACACACACAGATTGAAAAACACACAGTCACACATACACACGGACATAAACACGCAGACACACACACACACATACGCCACAGACACACACAAAGAACCATAGGCACACACACAGACAAACATGCACACACGCAGACACACGCACACACAAAAAGAGACACACAGACAGACACACACACATACATAGAGACACAAACACACACTGACGCAGACACGTAGTCAAACACACACACACACAAAAACACATACAGACGCCCACACACACACACACATGCACACACACACAGGCACACGTCCATAAACTCACACACAAGCACACAGTGATAGTTTCTGACAGAGAGTCTGAGTGTGAGAGAGAGAGAGAAAGAGAGAGAGAGAGAGACAGAGGTTCAGAGACAGGCCTTGTGTGGAGAGGGAGGAGGAGAACAGTGTGAGCAGAACATAATTTTGGAGCCAGTAAAATTTCCACGAGTCCAAGGAGGAGAATAATAATATTTGCCTTTCGCACAGAGCCTTTCATGTCGCGAGGATGTCACACGTTTTGTCACACGATACACTGTAAAATGAAGTGACTGTATTTTGTGATTGAACAGGGAAGCCGAGTTTGGCATCGTAACGTACTGCAAACAGTCAAGGAGAGAATGAACAATTTTATTTGGAATTGTTGGCCAGGATAAAACACAAGGCAGGCAAGTCCGGTAATTCATCCAGTGATCTTCATATTTGTCCTTGTCTTCGGAACAGGAAGAGGCAATCATACCCCTCAACCAACCAGCAGCTCTCTCTGGTTTCGATTAAACATTCCGAATCAAATCGAAAATGTGACCATATTTTCCCATCCCTTACATTTCCATTATGAGGGCTACAAAATGCACCTGTTACAAAGGCCTTACGGGAATGGATGCAGTTGTTTCTTTCTGAAGCTTACAACTTTCTGTGATCTTGTACTGTGTCAAAATCTGTCAACACGTTGCTAACAGAACAGATGCCAGGCTGCTCCTTCCCGATCAAACCATGAGTCTCCAATCAGGGAAAGCGAGCTGCAGTGACGGCCCAATGGACAATTTTAAGAGTGACTGAAATCACTGAGATTCCTGAGACCTTCTGGTTCTCACTTGTGGAGATGCAGCGCAATGGACAATTAGACATTTCCAGAGTGGAGAGCGTTTCTCAGAGAATGTCCTGATCAGTTTTAAAATATTAATTCTCCCGGAATGAATGGGCATAATCTTACCATCAGATTTCACATGAACTGTAATAATTTGCACAAATAATATCTGCCAGTTTGCTCTCTTGCAAGTTGACAGCTGAGATACAGCTTTAAATACAGAATTATCTACTCCCCATGTTGTCAGTCGAGGTGCTGCAGGCTCGAGACTGGCTTCCCTATCTGATTGTAATGTTCTCAAAAGCCGACAAGACAGCAGGGCTGGGGAGCTCTCAAGTTAATTCTCTATTTCTCAAAGCAACACAAAGGCCTGGACAGATAAAGCACAAAAGTAGAGTCCTGTAGCTCAGTGGTTAGAGCACTCGCTTTGCAAGCGAGACACCCCAGTTTAAATGAGGTTGGGGAGGGGGCTGTGCCTGGGACAGTCTATGCCTGGGTGAAGCTGGGTGTGCGGGGGGCCTGCGCCCTGGGTGTGTTATATCTGTGGTGGCTGTGCCTGGAGTTTGTGGCCTGTGCCCCATGGGGGCTGCTGTACAGTGTTGGGGGAGGTAGTCTGTGACCTGGGGGAGGGTTTGTGGCTGCGGGAGGGGTCTGTGCCTGGAGTTGTCTGTGTTTGAGTTCGGTTGTACCCTGGGGAGGAAGGGGCTGGGCATTGGGGGATGGGGCTGTGGCCTGTGTTGAGATGTGCCTTGTTGGGGGGGTGGGGGTCAGGGATGCGTGTGCTTGTCTTTGCCCTTTTTTGTGCCTTGGGGTGTGCGGAGGCTGTGTCTGGGGTGATCTGTGCCTTTGTAGGGCTGTGCCTTGGAGCAGTTGATATGTGGTGGGGTCGGGCGAGGTGTGAGAGGGTGGTGGAGGGGTGTGTGTACTGGAGGAGGTGCTGTGCCTTGTGGGTGGGGGCTGTGCTCTGCGGGGAGGGTGTGGCACACTCCCTTACCCCAAAACCAAAAACAATAAAAAATTGGTCATTTTCAATCCACGACTGTTTGTGGGACACTGCTGTGCGCAATTGGCTGCCGTGTTCGCCACAAATATACAGTCAATTTACTTTACAGTGTGTTCTGTGAAGCGCTTTGGGACGTCCTCCCGACGTGAAAAGCGCTATATCAAATGCAAGGATTATTATTATTATTGCTATTATCTGATCAAACCGTTTTCACAATCTTGAACACATGTATGAGGCCCTCTTTTCATCTGTGGAGAAAGATTCCGATCTTTCTCGATTACTGTTTCCTCTCATACATGTAACTCTCTTTTACATCCACCATGTAATCTCTGCAATGCTGGTGAACATCAACCTGTATTGCTACTCGGTGCTTGCTATTCTAATTTATCCTGCTGCCTCTCAATTGTTGTTTTGTGTCTTTGAAAACTATCACAAAATTGCAGCTGCAAATTGTTTTTCACGTCAGGAGGACGTCCCCGAACTAATGAAAGGAAGCAAAGGAGGAAGTAACTACGGAGAGATAAAGTGTAAGTAACTGAAAAGAGGAAGGAGGAGATCAGATGGTGAAGCCGAACTGAGATCGGAAATCTGTGCTATCTCCACTCTATATTTTCTTACAAATGACTCCTCGTATTGCTCCATCCAAATATTTCATAGAGTTTCACAGGAATAAATGTAGAATGCAGTGACACTATGTTTGTGGACGGATACACACACACAGAATTTGATGACAGCAATGTCCCAAGAACAGGCGTAAAATTAATGATTAATATTAATCTGAGGAATGGTACAATGTGACACCAGTTGGAGCTCACTTCTCCTTTGCACAACATTCGTCACGCTGTTTGTCCACGGCAGCCCACATCTTCCTGTCAGGGCTTTCCTCGCCGCAGAAACAATAAACTACTGCGGTGTGTGTATGATAGAGAGCGAGAAAGAGAGAGAGAGAAAGAGAGAGAAAGAGAGAAAGAAAGTCTGAATTTCTGCTTCCCAGCTACGAACATCGCTCAGTATCGATCGCTGGTGTTCGTCTGTGTGTGTGTGAGTTTGTCACACTCAGGCTGTGTGTGTAACAGAAATTTGAATGATTTGGGATCACAGAGCTCAGTGAACGTGAAAAAAGCTGCTCCTCAGCTTCCAGGTTCGTCTCTTGGCCCGAGCTCCTCCTCATCCCCGTCATGGAGACGTTGTTCCTCATCTTTGGTGAGTGTCGGTTCTAACTCAATCTCAAGCCCAGTCAGAGAGACGGAAAGGAGAGGAGTGAGAGGCGATTTGCTTGATCCTTCCTACTCCAAATCCATGCCACGACCCATTCTGCTTTACCCCATCTACGCAGCATCGCTCGTCTGCATCACAGACTCACACGGCAGGCCGCCAGCACCCTCTACATCCAAGCGTGACTACGGAAACTCCCTGCTTGTCGGCCTCCCAAATCCTCCATCCAAAGGCTGCAGATCCTCCTGATCTCTGCAGTTCGTGTCCTCTCCTACATCAAGCTCCGTGACCCTATCACCCCATCCTCACCAACTTCATTGGATACAGTTCAAGATACTGGTCTTCCGGTCTTCCACCAATATCTCTACCCTTAAACCGCTGAAACCCTATTCCATGCCTTTGTCAACACTCGGCTGGACTACTCTGACGCCCTCCCCGGCGGTCTCCCATCCACTACTATCCATAAAATCCATATCATTCAAAACTCTGCCGCCCGCATTCTCAACCGAACCAAACTCCGCTCCCCGATCACCCCAGTCCTGGCCAGACAGCATTGGCTCCCTATCCCAGAGAGGATCGAGTTGAAGATCCTCACCCTTGTTTTAAAGTCCCTGCACTCCTCTGCACTCCACGACCTCTCTGACCTCCTCTCTCTTCAAAACAGTAATCGTTGCCGTCGTTGTTCCGGGTCTGACCTCTTCCTCGTCCCCCGAGTCCTCTTCACTCTCGGTGGCAGTGCCTTGAGCCACTATGCGCCGAGGCTCCGGAACTGTCTTCCTCACTACCTTCGGCTCGCACCCTCCCTTACATTTCTCAGGTCTCTGCTGAAGACATTTTTTTTCGATCGCGCCTTTGGACACATTCCCTCCCCTCCCCCTGGCGCGACCAGGAATCCGTTACTGAAAAGCGTTCTGAGACGCCATTGGGTGTGTAGGGCTCTATATAAATCCAAGCTTTTGTTGCTTTGCTTGTTATTGTTGTTGCCTTCACCTTTAAAATCCTCCATAACGTCGCTGACCCGTACATCTGCAATCTTCTGAGCTTCTACAAGCCTGTCCGCTCCTTTCGCTCAGCGAGCTACGGCCTGCTCCACCACCATCGACCTTTGGCATTTAGGCCTTCAGCCGCTTTACCGCCACCCTTTGGAATTCCATCCTACAGCAGCACCAACCACAACCAACCCCCGCCTCGTGCTTGCTTACCTCCTTCAAGAACCTTTTCAAAACCTCCACTTTAAACGAGATTTCGATTTCCCTCCTTCCACTGCACTTCAGTCTCCTTGATACTGATCCCAAGATCTGTCTATGCAGCGAATAGTTAAGTACATCCGACATGCAATGCTACATACATATGTATTGCTTTTTTGTTGATTGAGCAGTGGAATGAAGAAAGAGGGTTGAAAGGGAAGCAAGGGTAGAGAGGCGAGCGATAGAAGAGGAGGGACCAGGGAAGGATAGAGGCGAGAGTGAGAGCACATAGAGAAGAGGGAGAGTGTAGAAGAGTGTGAGTAAGGGCAGATAGGAGTGAGATGATTAACGGGGGAATTGAGAGAGGAGGGAGTGCGGGAGCGAAAGAGCGAGGTGAAAGACAGCGGGAAGAGCGAAGGTGGAGAGGATGAGTGGCAGAGTGCTTGTACTGGGTAAAGTGTGGGTGAGTGAGAGGGGGAGATGGAGTCTTAGGGCGATTGGGTGGAGCGAAGGGAGCGAGAGGTGGAAAGCATATGAGTGGGAAAGGTTGAGGTCAGAGTGAGGTGGAGTGGGGGAGGAAGAAAAATATGGAGTGGTGGAATGAGGGCTAGCAGGAAGGGGAGCAGGAGGGAGAGAGGGAGGGCAACATGAGAGGGAGAGAGAGAGAGAGAGGTGCAGGGAGTCGGAAAGGGAGGGAAAGTGGCAGAGTTTGGGGAGGGGAGACGGAGTGGGAGGGTTAGAGTAAAGGGAGGCGGAGAGGCAGTGACGATTCAGTGAGATAGGGAATAAGGGACGGAGGGAGAGAAGGAGGGAGGGAATGAGAAATTCCTGATGTTGCCACCGGTACAGAGAAGTTTGAATGGGTATCGAGGTCTTTGCAACAATAAATTTCTCTTCGTCGCCTCCTCGCATGAAGCTGTATGCCTACATAAATGCAAGTTGTCCAAATGCACATTGTTGTTGATGGGGAACGTCATAGGAGAAACCAGGAAAAAAAGCAAAGGGTGAGCAAACTCCTTACCGAAAGGGAAACACAGTGTGCTCTAACTATTAACGGGATTTGAGATGAATTCCTCTGTTTCCGTACTGTCACCAAAAGCCATCTTCTCCACGGCTCGAAACTGAAACACAACCGATTTTTGCACAGCAAATGACGTTCAGCCAAATGCTGTGTTTCTTAGTCTATGACAGAATTCTTGGTTCAGTCCGATTGACTCCGCATCCCATCGTATTTGTGCTGGTGCTCGCTCACCCACTCGAGCTCTCTATTCTAACCCCATTCCATGCATTCTTTACCTCCCTGTCGTATCTGTACTGGTCGTCCTCCCCCATTGGAAGCTTTTCCGGCGATGGCATTAAATTGCTGCCCTGTAGATGAGGACCGACCGTTTACGATGTGAGAAACTGGGAAGATCAGATCCATGATTGTGAGAATTATTGCATTGATAACTCCTGACTTGATCTATTTTTTCCTTCTGCAGTGATATTTCTGGAGAGAAAGATGTTGGAATCTGCAGGTTAGTAACACAATGTCACAGCCAGAAGCTGCTGAGGTAACATTAGTGGCTGAGATTGAGACTGGGCTTCTCTTCACTTCCATCTGGGGATGAGGAGTAGAAACCATCACACAATCCGGGGGAAACGCAGTGGGTCACTTGGTGGGCTTGTGTGTAGAGGCCACAAGGATGCCCGAATATTACTAATTAATGCAGCTCTACCTTGAGTGGTTCATTTCTTTGGTCGTGGGCTGTGACCTGGGAGAGAGGCCGTGCACTGGGGGGAGAGAATGTTCCCGGGGTTAATGGGCTTGCCCTCGCGGAAGCGGCTGTGCCTCAAGGGCTTGTGCAAGGGAAAGTGGCTGTAACCGGAACAGGTGTGTGGGGGCCGTCCTGTAGTGCCCTGGAGTGTTTGTGCCCCTGGGAGATGCTGTATCTGTCGAATGGCTGTGCCTTGCTGGAGCTGGGCCTGGTTGGAGGTACACTGTGGGCGGTGGGGTTTGATCACTTGGTGTCTGGGGGAGGCTGTGCTTGGTGCTGTGCATTCGACTGATGTGTCCTGGGGTTAGAGGATGTGCCGCCGGGTTGCTGGGCGTGTTGCCTGAGCACTGGCTGAAGGAGCTGTGCCTTGGAATGATTTAAATTGAGGAGGGTCTTTGCCCTTAGGAGGCGCTGTTCAATTTATTTGGGCTGTGCCCTTGCGTGGCTCTTTGGCCTGGGGCGGTGTCTGTGCCTGGGGTTGTGTGTTCCTGGGTAAGGATGTCCCTGGGTGCTGTGCCCTTTGGACGATGTGGCTGGGCAATAGGTGAATAGCCGTGCCTGTGTGGTGCTGTTCTGAGGCACAGAGCCTCCTGGACACTGCCCGTCCCCAAGCGGTTGCATGCGGGAGGGGCTGATCCCTGTGGTGCGCTATGCCTGGGGTTTTGGGTGAGATAGTTTTGTGCCTTTGTGGGGCTGTACGTTGTGTGCTACGGATTGTGCCTCGCTGCGATGGGCTCTGCAATGAGGGATAGTTTGTGTCTGGGGCAGGAGGTTGTGCCCTGGGTCGGCGGGGAGACTGTGCCCTGGGGTTGGGACTGCTCTCGATTTCAGTTTGGTGGTGGGTGCTGTGGTCCTCTTGATCCTGTGTTCCTCTTGTATGATATGCCGATATTTTATACCCCCACCAACCCCCCCACACACCCCGGAGTGATTATGCCTGAGCTGGCAGAGCTGTGAGGCTGCAGCTCATACCATGTTGCACTGTTCAGTTTCTATCTCTCTGTGTTTGCATATGAATTATGTAACTTGTTTTGTCACACACCTGATCTATAAATGCACTAATAAAACGACAATATCTGTCTCTGTGCGTGCATCTGTGTGTCTGCCAATAGCGCATTAACCGATTTAAGAAGAGAACTGATTTACGTCTCAAAGGAAATGTCTTGCATGGCCGAATGGCACAAGGACACTTTTGGAGATTTCCTACCATTGATCGATGAAATAGACAGTTAACTCTGTCCCAAATTATGAGGTTTGCACGATATTCCGCAACAAAATCATTCTGTTCTCGTGAGATACATATGTTGTAATTTATACGATACATAAGCAGTAATATACTCTGTAATAAATTTTGGGCGGAATCTGGGCAAATTTTGAGGGTAATCTCCAATCGTTGTATTATGTATAATAATCTTATATAATTTATATTTTTAATGTATTATTTAACGTTAAGTATAACAAAATAGTATAACATATAACAATCTACTGTGATCTTAAATACATTACAATAATATTATCCTTGTATTTAATATAGCGCCAAAACATCTCGTTGCGCATCACAGAACCAATTGCTTTATGAAACGTCTATGTATTTTGTGGGCGAAACGCGGCAGCCAATCGCGCAAAACGGTGTCCATCAATAGCTATGGACCGAGCGAATAAATTATTATATTTTTGAATGAATTATTATCCCCTGCAAGATGAGTCCCTCATTGACTAATGGGTTCCTTCTGGCTGCCCTGTAAACAGAGGCATTTGGAGTGCGGAAACTTGCCTAAAAATTCGTACTGCTCGGCAGTCTAAATATAAAGTACAAAAATGTAATATAATGTATAATAATCCTAAACAAGTATAAAGGTTTAGTATCATTATAATAATCTAATGTAAAGTATAACAATATACATTATAATACCACTATCCTTTGCTCGCAAAAGTAGCTGCAACGAGTACAGTTAGTTGTGTAATGCTGCTGTTGACTTGACATCCGGGTTGCGGACTGAATATCGCCAGCACTCACTGCAACCATTATAATCATTGTTATTGCTGTTGTATTGATTACCACCCCGAGAATCTCCCAATGTGATTGGTGCTCCGCACATGTATAATGTATTGTATCATCCTGGCTGACTGCAAGTCCAATAGTGATCAGAATCTCAATATTTTGTGTGATGTTTTACAGAGGGTGCGAGGGTGAGGCTGGTGAATAGCGGCAGCCCGTGTGCCGGAAGAGTGGAGGTTTACCACGATGGACAGTGGGGCACAGTGTCTGGCTTTGGCTCTGGTGCCTCTGGTTGGGATATGTTGGACGCGGCTGTGGTGTGTAAGGAGTTGGGCTGTGGAGCCGCGCTGTCAGCATCAGGAGACGCTCACTTTGGCGAAGGCTCAGGTCCCGTTGTGGCGCGGTATGTTCGGTGCAGATGGATCGATTCTGCTCTGAGGCGTTGTCCCTCATGGGGTTGGCGTCATTATAACTGGATTTCACACTCCCATGATGCCGGCGTCATCTGCTCAGGTAAATAATTCATTTTCTGATCGTTTTTGATTCCTCATGTTTTCGGTAAACCACAACTTGAGAAAATAGGTAAAATTTTCTGCCGACAATATTATAGCTTAAAATTAAATCTGGGAGGTGGCGTCCATGCACCTCGAGTCACTATTCGGCGTCAGAGTTATCGGCGTCGTCTGTTCATGTAAATAACTCTGCCTCTGATTATCACCTTGTACTCGGAGGGGACTGGTGATTACGGGAGGTGGAGAACTGGGTTGCGAGCACAAGTCCAATTAGCATAGAGGGAGAGTACAGGCTTATGTTTAGCTCAAGCGGTGGTGTGGTGTGACCAGAGGAGGGGTGAGCACATGGATGCTGGAGCACAGGGGATTGTTAAACGTGGGGAGGATGTGCACAGCGGGGTGAGCCATGTTGGTGTGACCACAGAGTGGTAACAGTCTAGCAATGAGCACAGAAGGTAAGCACAGAGATGTGAGCTCAGAAATGTCAGCACAAGATGGTGAGAATATGGCGGGAGAGCTTGCGGCTCAGATCATGGTGGATGCTGAGAATAGGGGGTGAGCATATGGCTGGCAGCACGGGGGCGTGGTGGGAAAAAGTGGGTATTGTGAGCAGTAGGGGCGTGCAATAAGTGGAGAATATGGGGCAAGTGTACGATACGAGGCTTTGTAAAGAGTGGGGTGATGAGAACAGGGGGTGAGCACAGTGGAGCTGAGCATAGCGTAGCATAATGTTGGAGCACAGGATGTTGAGCAAAAGGGATTGAGCACATGGGACGTATGCACATGAATGTGTTGAGCACAGGCAGCGGTGAGCACAGGGACAGTAAGAATTGTGAGGGTGAGCAAAGGGGTGTATGAACCCCGGGTTGGGGGGTAATTGGGGGTGAGCAACTTATGGATGAGTATAGGGCGATGATAAAAGTTCGTTGAAAGTATGGGGATGAGCACAGCAGGTTTGAGCACATAGGTGCGAGCTGAAGTTGGAGAGAATATTTCGGGTGAAGGTTTAGTGAGCGGATGGGTTAGTAATAATAATAATAATCCGTGCATTTGATATAGCGCTTTTCACGTCAGGAGGACGTCCCAAAGCGCTTCACAGAACACACTGTAAAGTGAATTGACTCTATAATTGTGGGCGAACGCGGCAGCCAATTGCGCACAGCAATGTCCCACAAACAGTTGTAGATTGAAAATGACCAATTTATTATTGTTTTGGGTTTTGCAGGGATTATCATTAGGCTCTGTGTGGAGTAAGGAAATTTTCCCAAAGTTTCGCCCTGCCTGGAATTGAGCTCAGGTCTCTCGCTTACAAAGCGAGTGCTCTAACCACTGAGCTACAAGACTCCACTTTGCGTGCAGAAGATGTGAATATATGATGGTAACCACTGTGGGGAGTTGAAGCAATAGGTGGGAGCCCAGTGTGATGAGCACAGTGGTGTCAGGGGTGTGGCGTGTTTCTGCACAGGGCGACGAGCATAGGGGGTGTGAGCACATAGGTAATGAAGAGTGCTGCAGCTCAGTGGACAGAGCGTTCGCCTTGCATACGAGATTCCAGGCAGGGCGAAACCTTGGGCAAGTTTGCTTACTCCACACGCCAAATGATAATCCCACCAAAAAACAAAATACAATAATGATTGGCCATTTCCAATCCATGGCTGTTTGTGGGACACAGCTGTGCGCAATTGGCTGCTGCTTCTCGTCCACAAATATACGGTCGATTCACTTTGCAGTCTATTCTGTTAAGCGCTTTGAGACGTCGACGAGACGCGAAAAGCGCTGTATCAAATGCAACTATAATTATTATTATTGGGACAAAACCAGGGGGTTTTGCACAGGGCTGGTCGGGTAGTAAGGACAGGGTGTGAGCACAAGGCGGTGAGAATAGGGCGGCTGAACAAATGAGGTTGAGAAAAGGGTGGTGACACAGCGATTTGGTAAGCACAAAGTGGGGGAAGGGAGGAGAAGAGAGGGAGGAGAAAATGGTGAGGGGTGCACAGGGTGGGAAAACTGTGGAATGCGAACAGTAAGAGGACATATGGACGGGAGAAAACAGGGCTTTTGCATTGGGGGGTGAGAACAGGGAGCGGAATGAGTACAGCTGTTGAGCACATGGCGGGTCAGCATTGGGAGGGTGAACAAAAGTTTGGTGTGCATATGGGAGGTGTGAGCATAGTGAGAAGTGAGCACATTGTGGTGAACATAGTGGGGCGGGTGACCACAGTGTGTTGATCGTGGGGGCGTTGGGCTTAATGGGGTTGAGCACAGGGTTTGTGAGCACAGGGTGTTAATAACTGAGGGATGAGTTCAGTGTGGTAAGCACAGAGATTTGAGCATACTGAGTCGGACAGCATAGTTGGGTGAGCACTGGTCAAGAGTGAGTGGTTACACAGGGAGGGGGCTGAGAAAAGGTGCACAGGGGCTCAGTACAGAGGTGGGGAGAGAGCACAAGCGATGGTTTGAGCAAGGAAATTGGTGAACATAGCGGTTGGTGAGCACAGGGTGTTGAGGACTGGGGTTGAGCACAGGGGCTGAGTAGGTGGGGCTGAGTAAAGCGTTGGTTGTAAGAAGAGGGCGAGGTGAGGTTAGGCGACTGAACACAGGGGGCTGCGCAAAGGGGAAATAATACAGGGGGCTGATCAAATGTGGAGCTGGGTGACCACAGGGAGCTAAGCATAGTGCGGGTCGGGGGTAAAACAGAGGGAGGAGCTTAGAACAGGGGATGGCACGCACTGTGATATGAACAGAAGGACGGGGGAGAGCAAAGTTAGGGTGCACAGCAAATTGGGAATGAGCTCAGGGAGCTGAGCACAGCACGCGGTGTATTGAGCATAGGGGCTAAGTACAGGTTTCTGAGTAGAGAGTGGGATATAGCAAACATGGAATTTAGTACAGGGGAGTACACAGTGTATAAGCACAGTGGCTAATAGCCCAGGGTAGAGCACACTGGTGGGTGAGCACACGAGTGGTGAACGGGGATCTGAGTGAAGGAGGTGATCCTAGAGGTTTAGAAGAGGTTGGTAGCGTGTGTCCAGCGAAGAAGCTCAGGAAAGTGAATGATGAGCACAGGTGGTGAGCACAGGGAGGTAGAGTTGAGCACCAGTTTAGGTGAGCTAAGTGGCGATGAGCGGAGGCGGCTGAACACAGGGATTGAGTACTGAGAATGAGCACAGGATGTGAGCACAGGTTTTGAGAGCAATGGTGTACAGCACAGGGGCGTGAGCACCGCGGATGAGCACAGTCGGTGAGCCTAGGTGGAGTACAGGGCGTGAATACAGGTTGTGAGCATATTGAGATTGAGCAAAGGATTATTGAGAACATCGGCGGTTAGTACAGGGGGAGTGAACAGATGAGAGAAAGCACATTAGGTTAGAGCACAGAGGGTGAGCAGAGAGCGTGAGCACAGTGGGGTAGGATCACAGGGGAATGGGAGAATACGGAGAGTTGTGCACAATTGGGGGGAGCACTCATCTCACAATCACATTGCAACATCTTACATACATACATACACAACACACACACATACATACATACATAATGTGCCACCCTCAGCACTACGGCACATTAAACCAATTTACACTCACACACACACAACCGCAGACACACACACAGAGACACACAGACACACACGCACACACAGACATGCACACACAAACAGACACAGAGACACACACACAGCGCCATCCTCAGCATTGGTTGCACATCATCGACTCACTCTCTCGCTCTCACATCGTATGTACACACAGCGCCACCCTGAGCAATGGGGAAACATTACAGCTGATAATCACACACACACACAAATAGCGCCACTCTTCGCACTGGAGGCACATTGCAGCCTCTCTCACACACAGCGCCACTCTCAGCATTGGAGGCGCGTTGCAGACTCTGTTTCACACCCGCAGCGACACTCTCAGTACTGGGTGCACATTACAGCTTCTCTCGCTCATACACACCAACACAACGTCGCCCTTAGCACTGGCGGCACACTTCAGTCTCTATCTCTCCCTCACTCCTCACAGCGCTACGCTTAGCACTGGGGCGCATTATAGCCTCTCTCACACATGCATGCGCACAACTACTCACACGTAACACCACCCTCAGCACTGGAGGAACGTTACAGCCTCTCTCGCAAACACAACACCATCTTCAGTATTGGGGGCACACTTTTGGGCTCTCACTCACCCACAGCGCCATTCTCAGCGCTAGGGAAACATTACAACTGCTTTCAAACACACATCGCGGGACCCTCAGCACTGGCGTCACATTACAGGCGATCACTCAACCACAGCGCCATTCTCACAACTCAGCACATTAAAGCATCCTTTGCATACAAGCACACGCACAGACAGAGACGCACACACTATTATTATACCGTAGGGGCACAATAGACTCTCTTTGATACGCACATAATGCCATTCTCAGCACTATGCAAACAACCACAGCGCTTGACTCAGCTTTCGGGACATATTTGCAGACTCTCGCACACATTCAGCGCCGCTCTCAGCACTGAAGGCACATTACAGCCTCACTCGCACATAAACACAGGCATACAAACAAACACACAACGCCAACCTGAGCACCGAAGGCACATTGCAGCCTCTAACACACACATACACAAACCCACAGCGTCACCCTAGGCACCGAAGGCACTTTACGGCTTTAAACATGCACATACACACACAAAGAAACACTTACAAAGCGCAATCCTCAGCACGGGGGCACTTTTCTAATGACACACACCAGCCTCCTCCGCATCATAATTTGGTGACCTGAATTGCAAGTACGGTTCACTAATTTTTATTGCGCTCAGTTGTGTGTCATTTTCAAACACGTAACGATTGCGATGATCCGAACTAAACACTAGTAGTTCTGTGTAACCCACCAAAAATGGGAATTCCCCTTTCATTGAAATGCAATGTGCACTATCTCTCTGGAGGTATGCATCCTTGCTAACTAAACACAGACAATATAAGTCGTAAGATGGCAAAACTGTGTTGCCTCGCT